TATATTTGCTGTCTATTTGTGATTGCGTTTTAGAGAGTTTGAAGTTATTATTCATATCCCCATGTGTGTATGTATGAAACAGGACCACAAAGGACTTTAAGGAACAAAATAAAAATGTGCAAAAAATCTATTCCTTCAGCAAAATATGTAGGGTACTGAAACAATGTCATAATGTGTGATAATGTGCACTTGGCAAGTGAATATTTAAATTTACAGCTTTTCAGGATTAAGAGGCATGGATTTATTGAGGCTACCTCTAACTCCTTCTTATCAGCAGCTGGTGCATCTCCACATCATATGTCTCTGGCTAAACAAGAGTGTCAGCCAAGAAGTTTTTCCTTCCATATAGCGTGTAGAAAAATGTCAGAATCTAATCCTGAAGGAGCATGACACAGTAGATTTCCAGGGCATGGTCATTTTAGATGTTGAAAGCCCATTTTGATATTTTTTTTTTCTTTTCTTACTTTCCTTGGTACTCTTGATACTGGCTATTTTTAGCTAGTGAACAGATGAAGCATGGGCAGGACAATTTGATGCAAAATCAGCTGTTTGAACCTCACCAGAGATGCAGACCTTTTAAATGGGTCCTGTCAGGTGAACTTGTACCGAGTCTCCAGCACATACAAATCATACTGTTTTCCCATGTAAATGTATGTGTTAAAAACAAACTTGACGGAGTTTAAATAAGATTAGAGATAAGCCTTTGGAAGTTAAGAAATACATTATGAAAATTGCCTACTCATATGCATAATGATATCTTCTAGATCACACATTGTTCTGTGGGTTTGGGTTGTCTTCTTCCCGGGATCTCTGCCTTGTTGTGTGCAGAAGGAGTAGTACTTATCTAATGAGCAAGTATTTTTGTTGTTTCTTTTTTTGTTTGTTTTCTTCCCCTTTATTATTTTTCATTGTGTAACTGAGTGCCTTACTGTATGCCATTCAGATCAGGATTTGAGGATGAAGTTATTATTTTCCTTTTCAGCATTTCTGTAGGACTGTATCACTACAGTATTTCAGTGCTTCAGATGTTAATTGATTTTCGTAACACCCTACTGAGATGGGGAATTATTATTAACCAAGGAAATAGAGCACAAGGAGATTGAGGTCAGAAGTACTGCTCAGTTTGAATGCCAGGTTTGAGACACCCGTGACCTGCTTTATTATCATTATTTTTAGTATTCACAGAAAACTCTTGTATTTCTTTAACTGCAACTTTAAGTAATTCTGCATTTCTTCATATTGAGTTGACAGCTGTAATAGAGGCAGCTGTATAGTAACAAAAACGCAGGTGACCGCTCTTGGAATTTTTTGCGTAGGTGATGTGCCTGGTTTCACATAAGAACTTTGGAGCAGAAGTGGGGAAAGGATCTGAGTCTTAACACAGCACAGAGACGTTATGACCCAAGAGATTTTTCTTTCTTTATTACATTCTTTTGGCTCATACCATACTTGTCCTCCAGTTCCTATGACAAAGGAAACAAGGCCCTACCTACAGGAGTCTCTTCTACTCCTTAACCATACGTAAATCTTCACCAGAATGGGTACACTCAGGATGACAAATGAGCAGAGGTTCTTTTTGGAGAGTCTGTGAAATGTTCTTAGTTAAAAAATAATTCCTGATGTACATGCATAGGATTGTGCTCTATGTCTTAATTTTGAGTGCCTATGCACCCTTAAGTTTCTTTTAACATTCATTTAATATAAACAGTTTTCTGTTCTCTTCTGTATTTCTGTGTCAGTCTGCGTTCTGGCATCAAATGTCCACATTCAGCAGCATCCTAATAGTTTAAAATGGCAGCAATGTCAAGCAGTTAGTATCCCAGTACAGTTGCTTTACGGTTGCAGAAGTTTAGCTGTTTTAGAAGTGAGACTACTCACAGAGTACAGAGCTTGTTCAGTAGGATGTCAGCTGTCATAGAGTTGACATATGAAGATAATTCTTTTTCTCAGTAGAATATTGTTTCTCTGAGTTGGCAGCACAGAAATGATTATTAGAAGCGAGAAAGATCATTAAAACTCTCGAGTGCTTTGATAGCCATTTCACCTTAGCTTTTTTTCATAAGAAATTAACTAATCATGGCTTTCAGAAGAATAAAAAGCCTCTGAAAACATGAATTAGGGTAACCGTAAACTCATCTGCTGTGGTACTCCTGAGAACAGCACTGACAACAAACTCAACCAGAATGTTTTTAACGTATTTTAAGAAGTACTTCTACACTGATCTTCACTCTGGGCTTATTTCTCGTTTCTCTTAGACTATGAGTTTATTGTATCTCGGATGGATGTTGTCTTTTGAGAAGGAGTTAATTCTGTCTTTCAGCTTAGATTTTATTTTGGGTCCATTTAATTGTTTTCCTCTAGTTTTTTAGAAGCATCTGTTGTTAATAGTGCTGAATGAAGACTGTGCTTCAGGCTCCTTTTAACTCAGTAGAAATGAATTTGCATTTGGGCCTTTACACAAATATTTTTTGGTCCTATCCTGGACATCTATCTTGTCAACTTCTATGTGCTCAATTATATGTTGGCACCTCAGTTCAAGAAAACACAGAAATAGAGGGAAGTCAAACACAATCTCCCTGCTTGACAGAAAAGTGATGTATGTGCTGGATGTGGTGGCCTTCCCGTAACTTTCTTTAAAATGCCTGGATCTTTTCAAATTTGTGTTGAAGATTTAACGTAACAGATTTTTATAATGGACTCGGTAACTGTGCTGTACTGGTGGATCTTAAATGCTGTTTAAGGCATTTCCTCACAGTGTAACTATATCATCAGATCAATCTGGGAGGAAGAATGCAATTATTTAGCTTCTCTTATGTTTGAAAGCCATGTAAATGAAAATACTTATTAAATACGTCTGATTAGAGAACTGCTTATTAAATTTTTATTATTATTCTGTGTTTTGTTGCATGTGATTTGGACGGTGTGGTTAGTTTTGGTTGCTAATAGTTGCATGATGCTTACATATCCTGGAAAATATGATGGTAACCTGGTGAAAGCATGAAAGTGTCTTTATTGTCTCCAGCAGTACCAGTTAGTGTAATAACATCACCTCTTTTTTAAGTTTTCCTTTTCTTAGCACATAACAATATGCCTGGTATTTTACAAAATACAGATTGTGTTATTGTCTCATAGTAAAGATGTTATTGTCAAGCAAAGGGAAAGCAACAGCTGAGATTACTGAAAATTAGGAGTCATAAATAGATAAATTAATGATGGCAAAGATTCAGAGAAGCTGTGAACTTTAGGGAGAGATTTGAGAGAGAAGGTAGAAGACTTCTATGTGCAAGAACTGGATGATTGTGCTGAGGGCAGAGAGGGATGTGGAGGCAAGATGAAGCCACAGTTCAGAATGGAGTGTTGAGAGAATCAAAGGAAACAAGAAGACACATGAGAATAGAAGAAAATCAGATTTTACAAAAAAAACCCACAAGTGTTTGGTTTTTTTTTACTTATCTGTGATACTCAACTGAGTGCTGTTAGAAAGCATTTAAATTTAAAGTGATGTTTATGCAAGTTGCGACTATAGCTATTTCCTTAGCTGCCATTGAAGTGAATGGATAAGTACAACAATGGGTGTTCATCTCTGAGGTAGCTCTGATACAGCCCAGGGTGATGTTGTTGTGTGTATTGGTTATGGAGGGGCCCAAAAGGAAACTGTAGTTTGGGAATTGCTGTGGACTTTTCGCTAAGCCCTCACAGGCAGCTGCATTACAGTATGGCATAGGCTTACCATAGAGGTTTTATGAGATTAGGAAACTGCCTAAATTCAGGAGATTACATGGTTGCTGACTCCAGCAGGTGTAAAGAAGCTTTTTTATGGAGAGTCCTGGATTACAAACTGCAATCTGAGGGTTTAGAAGCTTTTCTATAACAGACATATTTTGTTTTCAAGGTAAAAGTATTTATAAAGGATTTATTTTCTAAGTTGCAGGTGAGGATTCAGTTGGTTTTTCCTTCAGGGTTACAAAGGTAATAGAGAAAAGCACTGTTTGATATTTACCAGCCTAAGGTACTATCTCATACTGAGGGTAACTGGAACCTGAAGGTAATTGATTCACTGTTGTAGTTCCAGCTTTGACATTTTGATACCACTTTCTTATACACACAGTGGTGGTTTTCAGGTCTGATTGCAATGATTTCCATCTTTTTATAGAAATGCAGGATCATAAGCAATTGCTTCTTATCTACAGAGCTAGGTATGTCTAGGGAACAACTCAGCTGCCTAAACGTGGGCATTTAGCTGTCTTTGGATGTGCAGATCATCCACATAGAGCTTACAGAGATGATGCAGCACTTAGAGCTGACTTGTATCCTTCTGCAGCAGCAACTGCTTACCAGGGAATGTTTTCTTTGGGCTTCTAAAATGCCATTTGACAACAATGTTTTGGCACCTGAACTCATCCATGGTTGCTAGTCAATGTAAAAATGTAATTGAACTGGAGATGGTAGGAGGCAAAGGTATGGGATTTATCTGAAAATACAGCATTTTCTGGGACTTCTGTTTTTGTTCTTTTAGAGACCACTTAATGGTAAACTTTGAACACTTCTAAGTAAAAGTTCTAATTTATAATTAACACAGTTTTTATGGTAGATTGATACACATTTTAATTTAATACCTCTGAGCTTGCAAGAGAGAGAGAGTCTAATTTTCTTTTCTTTTCTTTTCTTTTTGTACTGCTAGAGAAATACAGTAAACATATGTTCTGTGGTAAAAATGCACCTACAATTAAATAACTAGTCATTTCCTGTGAGTTTTGAAGTTGAACTGTAAGCCTGAAGGACAGAAAACATGCTATGTTGCTCTTGTTAAACTGTCAAATTATTGCTGCATATGAGACTAGAGGATTTTCAGTTTCTTCTCAAAGCATTTTTAGGGGATGAGTCAGTAAAGCAGTTATCTAATATGTCCTTGTTGACTGCACATAGACTTTTACGTTCTGTTATGTTTAATTACATTGTTACCAGGTTAATACTTTGGGATTTTTATTTCTTCTTTACAGGATTCTGCTCAAGAGAGTGTCATTACACGAGATATTCATCGTACATTTCCAGCACATGATTATTTCAAAGATACAGAAGGAGACGGTCAGGAATCTCTATACAAAATCTGTAAGGTACAGTCAGTACTCTGAATTTTTAAGTGTGTTCTATATTTTGCTATGACTGTATTTTGCCCTACTAACCCCGTTCTGATCCAAGTCGCTAATCAATAAGATGTTAAAGCTTTATTTAGAATGCATGTAGAGAGTGTAATGTTTCTGCAGTACTGAATATCCTGAAGTACTTTTTATAACCTTGCTTTTTGTATTTCCTGAGATGCATATGCGAAGAGCGAGGCTCAAGCTAGCTTTACTAATGGGCAATTGGGTATCAGAGGTCTGCTTCAGTAGAAGCGTGGCGTAGTAGAACTTTTTTGCTCTGCTGGTAGAGAGGTTTGCAGAGGAAGAGAAAATCCTCAGAGCAAGCTCTGCTGTGAGGTTGGGCAAGAACGTTTTTAGATAATTATCTAGAGAACAAGTCAGCTGACCTTTCCACAAGCAATGCGTGTGTATAGCTTTTCACTCATAGCTCTCAGATCACCTCTGATCAAAGAAAAATCTATTTTTTTCTAGTTTGCACATGGGGAAGTTGATGTACTAAATGAATAGATTTGTTCAGCTTGTACAGACAGATTGTTGTTGCTCAGGAGAGATCCAGAAGTTAGAATAGTGCAGGTAGATAGGTAATTCTCTGGCTGTCAGTTGCACATTTTATTGTGTTTTTGGCAGGCAGTTTTCATTCTACATTTTTTCCGACATGTAGAATAAATGATTGCCTTCGACGTAACCATTTCCACTTCCCTTCCTTTTCCTTTTTACTCTGTTTCCACCTCCAGGTGATTAATAGACAGACATGATTGAGTTGTCATAACAAACAGAAAAGAGTGTCCTGCCTTTGGGGTATAATGATACATACTCTTGTTCCCTGGTTATATTCTATGGTAGTACAGGCTCCTATTCAAACAATAATTTGGACAACTGTTAAATATAGCTGCTTAGGTTACATATATTGAAGTTCATTGTCATGAATAATTCACATTAAAAAAAAAAAGTAAAAAATGAAGGCACAGAGAGAACTTTGAACCAATTATATTGATTTCTCACTAATCTTGGCGGGCTCTAGAGGGCTACAAGAAAACAGTTCCTGTGCCAATCTTTGAAAAGAATAACTAGGACAATGCAGGTAATTATGGACTTGTCAGTTTGATATCAGTTAAGTGAAAAATGATGGAATAGCATTCAGCTTATCAAGAATTAAATGTGAGAAGTACGTTATAATGAATGCCTATGAGTTTACTGAAAATAGATCTTGACAAGCTAATACAAAAAAAATTAAAAATACAGGTTTCATTGGTGAAGGTAATTTTATCAAAATTCTGTAGATCGTGTAGTCCGCAATGCAAAAAAAAAGTATAAATGCTGGACAAACTAGAACATGAACAAGGTACACATTAAAGAATTAAAAACTGGCTAGTTGGCAGGTTACTAAACATCAGCACTGAATAAATGTATTTCAAACAAAGTGTCATGAGCATCATTTGTTCATTCGATGTACTCTGGTTAGTCACCTAAAAGAAACAGAAGAATCATTTCTGATAAATATATCTTGATGACACAGAGAAAAATGGAATGGTAAATAATGAGGTGTTAAAGGATGTATAGATAGGTGAATCTTGTGTAGGAATAGGATGACTTGAGTAACTCAGTATTTTACAGCTGCTGCAGCTGCTTTTGCTTACTGTGTCCTGTGACTACTTCTGCATTGGAAAGAACCTGTAGAAGTTCCATGAGGATGATGAAAAGATTTGGGAACATACTTTGTGAAGAAACTCTTTCTCATGAATGAGTATCTCAGTCTATTTTGTTTAATAAAGAGAAGATAAAGGAATGAATCTGTCTGAACTAGAAGCGACTTTGAGGAATTATCTGCCTAGCAGGCAGCTTCACAGAGGCAGAGATTTCAGACCTTCCCAGGTTTTGTGTAGTGAAGGTGAAGAATTCTACTTGTCTTCCAAAGCTGGGAGCCTTCTGTGTTCTCAAGGCCTCCACTGCTCCTGCAGAGAAAGTTGCTGCAGATATTGGTTTCTTGAAGTATCTAGATCAGAGGCATGTCAGTGTGTACATCAAGTTGAAGACTGCTTGAAGCATTTTGTATTTATCTAGAGTTGAGTGACCTCTGCCACTTTGCCACTTTCTTTTAATATGAACACATTCTGCACAGCATCTTTGCAGGCAGCTTTTAATTTACTGCTTTGAACAGCTTTGTTTTATCAGCAGACTTTGTTACTATGCTATTTTTATGTGTTCTGATTTGTGTGATGATTTGTGAATATTTTCAACAGCATCAGCCCTAGCATGTCGTTCTGTAAGGTTCTGTGAGTGACCTCACCCTCATTCTGTAGGTGAGAACTGACTGTTTATTCCTACCTTTTGCTTTCTATCCTTTAATCAGTTATTTGAGTGCATAAGAGGACCTTCTGTGGCAGCTTAGTTCCCTAAAAAGCCTTTGGGAACGCATCTTGTTGAAGGCTTTCTAAAAATCCTAGTAGACTCTGTTGACTACCTCATTCTTTTATGCGCTTCTTGGTTCAAAGAAGGATTTGGGAAACATTGCTTCCTGGAAGAACAACCATATCCGATCTTCAACATTGAATTATTCATAAGTTTACTGATTTTGTTCTTGACAGTTTCTACTTACTTGCCAGTATGGAGATTAGATGCAACTGCTGTGCACATTCCTAGGCAGCTCCTTTTCCTTCATCGTTAAGCTGTTTTCTTAAATGGCTGTGCTCTGTTCTACAAATGACCTGGCTATGGCTGCGTTCAACTAGACCTTGAGTTTATGATTGATGTGGAGAGTTTTAGAGAAGTATTGTCAAAAGCTAATTAATTTGCCTTTAAACCTATCATTCCACAACAACAACAAACTAAAAACCAGTGTTGAGAGTAACATTGTGGCTGTTTTATATTTCCAGAATAACTTTTATCAGAGGTGCTGTGCACTCATGCCCTTCTTCTAACATGAAAGCAAGATATTTGAAGTATGGGATTATTGAATAAGGCTAGAAAAGGTCTGTCCTCAAGTGGGAGGGTAAAAAGCTGAAGAGCATTTTCTTCATGCCCCACTGAAATGAGAGATGATCTGAGCTGTCAGATAAAAAGGAAAGCCATTAAAAGCTCACTGCCTCATTTTAACGGGTCTGTCAGTTTTAGTTCTCTCTCTTAATCTCTTCTTCAGAACAGTAGGAAATCAGGAAAGATGGAAACTTTTTCAGTTGCAGAACATTTATGTGACAAAGTATCTAAAAATAAACCTTAAGGCTGACAATGGTAATAAGGAATGAAAAGAGTTCCAGATGCTGCTTGGAGATTTCACTTGAGCTAGATTCACATAAGCTAGATTTGCACAGAGCAAACATCTTTGGGAAGATAGTTCTGTTTCTTGCACACTTTCTGTTTAAATACTATGTGAATTCTAGCTGTATTTAAAGAGCTCATTCTCTGCATTACAATGCATAACAGAATAGTACTCTTGACCTACTTCCATGTGTGCATATGTAGTTAACAGCTCGATGCTCCAGGGAATCAAAGCACTTGGCAGAAATAGTCCTCTCAACTGTTTGGAGTGTATGCAGTGCAGAATTTAACGTGAGATGTGTTTTCGCTAATTTTCGGATTAAAGTAACTCCTGTTCGACAACCAACCACTGTGACTTTAATAAGAGAAAGGGAGCATGTTGCAGGGAAATCAATCAGGTTAGCCAGGTGCGCGTTCTTACTGGACACACTTGGAAAATAGACAAAATGTTTTCCTGTTTTTCTGAAAATGGTTGAATTACTTTTCAGAGATTCAAAGTTGGTGTTAGTGTTTTCCAGTAAACAAGGGCATTATGGAAGGCTATGAATCATTTGTATCATGACATATTTATTTATTAAATACTTATCTCCTTGGTTGATCAAATTTGTAGTTTTTTTCCTAATCCCAGTCATACTTGCCTGAAGGGTTTACGTGCAGGATCAGTGTGATAGCTGGTTTACTGTGAAACAAAACAGTCTGTTTTAGTCATCGTTCCAATGTCTGTCTGTTTGTTGGTACCCGCATTAGTAAAGGGAATAATAAACTGTTTTCCTAACAAAGCTAATACTGAACGGGCTCCAATATGGGGGGTTTTGGCTTTCTTTGCTGTATAATTGAAATGTGAAAATGTCTTTGAGTTGCTCTTCTGTGACCAGTAGCTTCTATACTGTGATAAGCTGTGAATGATGGATTACTCTTTGGCTTATCCTTCAGCATGGCAGAACTGCTGCTTAGTGCTGTCCTGTAAGCTGATTGTCTAACTTTCATCCTTTTTTTACATTTTCATTTCCATTTCATTGCAGCATCTTTTTTCGGATGATCACCTCTTCTCAGCATGCACGTATTCTTCCACATTTTCAATCCTTAGTATCTCCTTAAATTTACAAATGGAAAGTTTCAGTATTTGTCCACTTCGGTTTAATTATCTGTCAGAGAGCAGATCTCTTTCTTTCCTATAGGAGTCTATTTGCCAATTTTAGAATAAACATAGGAGCATAAACAGAATCAGTTAAGAATTATTTTTCATCTATTTTTAGTTGTTTATTTTCTTTGCTCCTGGGTTGAAGAGCAATTTTAGTAAATACTGTTGTCATTGTTTCATGCAAAGGATTTTTAATGTTATCTTGTCTTCTTCCATTTACATATTAATAAGGTTCCTTCTCTGTGCATCTGTGCTCAGCAAGGAAGCAGTAGTACTGTTCTTGCATATGGGGTTTCTGCTGAGACGGCACTAGTGAAAAGGTCAGGATTGTGAATCTTGAATGCTGGAAAGAGAGTAAAGTCTTAGTATGTTCGGAGGCCTGCCTGAATAAATGTGAAGACTTCTTTCTCTCGGCCCTTATAGCTCTGGAGGCAGCATATTGTATAACATACACGTGCCTCTCCCTGATACTCAATAAATGAGTAACTGGTTTCTAAAAATAGTTTTCAGTTAACACAGAAATTCCTTGTATAATGCGATACATCCTAAATGCTGCAGTCATAGCAATATTATTCCTTTCAGACTGTTAGCCTTATAATAAATTTAGGTATGGAGTTTTACATTTTGCTACCACTAAAATTATTCATCAACCAAGCACGTCGTGATATACCTTGTTGTGTGAGAAGTCTGCATCAAAGTATAGGTGTTTGCTTGAGACAGTCTGTTTTTCAGACACTGTGGAAGTCTTTTAACTCTACTAAAATGGACTTCAGCAGAGATGTGTGTCTGTATCAAACGTTGAGTAGATTCCCTAGATGATTTCTATCATTTCGCTAGCAACGCAAAGTTAAGTAACAAGGGCAGATCAGGCTTGTAATTCTCCCCCAGAAAACTTGCATTTCAATTCCTGTTGCATTTTCCTTTTTCTTGGGACACAGATGCTGGATATCTCTTAGGGCTGTTAACAAGCATTGTGCCAGTGCGCCTGTCGCTTTTTCAGAACAGTGAGCGTTTCCTGTGCCAGGAAACATTATTACTGACAAGAGAGATACCGTTCCTGTAGATGAGAGATGAAGATCTGTAGAGCCTCTGCTGATACCTTTTCCTCTGCACTGCTGTGAAGTTTGTGTCAGGGAATGAAAGCTCTGGCAAATGTAAAACCTTCGTATAAGGCAGCCACTAGTGAAATATTATTCATGAGCTCTCTAGTTTCCAATGTAATTGTAATGTTTAGTTTCTAATGTCATTGAGTTACTAAGTAAAGGCAAGTTGGCAACGTGATTGTACAGTGATATTTGCTAGTTAGTGTTTTGCATCTTGTTTTAAGTACATTTGAATCTTCAGCAAATATAAGCAGTCGTTTTCATGCTTATGACAATGCAAAATGATGAAAAACATTTCATTATGGAATTTGAGACTTACTCCCTGCTCATTCTCCTTTTGAAAACTCTTGGGACTCATATACAGTCGTTGCAGAACACCAAATCTGAGGCTTTAAATTCAAATCAGCAACCTGACCATTTGTCTTTCAAGTGCTGTAGATCTAAAAAAATCCAAGTAAGTAGAGGAGCCTGATCTTGGGAGATTTTCCTCCAGTAATTATTTCAGAGAAGAATTTCTGTCCATCTCTGGATTCTTCATTCACTTTACCAACATGCAGGTGGTTCTCTATCATTGACTTTATTTGAGGAGACTCTGTTGCTTCCAAATTATTCACTTTCTAATGAGGTTGTACTAATAACTGCACAGTAGTTCTTCTGTTTAGAAGACAGATAACTATTAAAAAGGTGTTTTAATTCTGTAGGTGAGATCTTCGTTTAGTTAAAATGAATGAAAGTAGGCTTCAGGGCAGAATCTTCATTAAGTCCCATTTATGAGACAGAGAATATTTTAAATCTCAGTTAACTGGAGAGTTCTGATTGGACATTCCCCAAGAGCTTAAGAAAATAATAACTTAAAACTGGCAACGTTGTTGCAGGTTGTCATGAGGGAAAAATCCCATTCTCTTGAAATTACAAAGTTACAATGACTGCAGTGGCAATAGGGGATTTGGGATTTTGCTTTGTTTTCATATTTCATGTGGAAAAACAAAGTTAATGCTCCTCAGTCCCTTAAAAGGAGAAATCTTAAATAATTAATCTTAGATCTTTGGTTAGTAATATGATATTTTGGTGGTATCTGTAGGCAGCATCCTTATTTTTAAGACTCTTTTGGTTAATTACATTATATTTCAGCAATATCATGTCCCAAAGGTTACTTAAAAATAAAAAAGTATAATTGGAAATGTAATATGCATAAGGCTTCAAAAATCTCTTTGCTTTGGGCAAATACAGTGAAATCATGTAGATTTTAGAGACTTTGTTGAAAAATAAATCTTTAGTTGCCAGCATTATGATGCTTTGACTTAATAGCAGAATCTTTATCAGTTTGATCTCATTCTCATGCAGAACTGAAGGTTAGTATCTATGTATCTGATAACAGCTGCTTGTGAAGATCAGATTTTGGAGAAGCACCTAGTGGAAATTAATTTCAAAAAGCAAACAGGTCAAGCACTTAGTTTTTTTTTTTTTTCATAACTCTTAGTTGCTTCAAAGATTTGTTAATAATGACATCCTTTTCCTGAGGCCCTCAGACATTTTTCTCTTTTATATACTATGTATATGTGTGCACTAATTAATTTGAAATGTTTTTTTTTTAGACCAAATTATCCAGTACTTGTTGATTTGTAGTTCTATGGATTGCCTCTTTTTACAAATGTTTCAAATTTGTCATCTATTCTTCTGATTTAATCAGCCAATTAATGGTTTATCAGCCCCCCCCCCAAGATTTTTGGTGAATACCATTTGTTCTTAATAAATTTTTAGTGGTTTTATTCCTTTTAATTTATTATCTCTTCTGATACTCAGTTGGAGACAGATCCTTCAACACATCCCCTGTTAGAAATGGTTCCAGCAGGATGAGAACCCCTGTGATTCTCTGTAATAAAACAGACACAAGGAAAGTTCATGTGGATTTTCTGCTATAGTTTAAATACAACTTTTCTACCTTGATCATATATTTTCCAAGTAGAGGCTTTGCCTTCCTGCTCTGGATGTGTTTGAAATGGATTTATTATTAGTTGTAATGTGTTTAGGAAGTTGATTATGAGAACATTTCTTGGTCTTCCTTCAGATTTTTATATTTAACATGCAGAGTGAGGCTTTTTTTTGCACCCTCCCCATTTTCCCTCTTTTGCCATAATTTCAACTTCTTTAACAATCTCAAAAGGAATATCTTTTTATTTCTGGTAACTTTCTTTACTTTTTAATCTATGTCAGTTTTGGAGGCAGTTTATTTGCTCCAGTGTGTTGATTTCTCAATAGTTATTTTAAAACTCGTTTGAATGAATTTATTGCTGTTTTCAGCAAATTATTAGCTATTGTGCTAATAATGCTTCTCACAACAGAAGGAACCCTCATGGGTTGGTAATTTGCTATTAATTTTTCAGCCTGGAGTTTTTCATAGGAAAATAGAAGTGGTTTTATATAATATGAAGAAATCACAAATCAGATTGATAATTTATAATTCTGCATATCTGTTTCTAAATGGAGCTGGCCTTTCAAAAGCAGAAATCATACCACTTTTAAGAATGCTACGGAAATAAAGTATTAGGCATCCATAAACTGATAGATTTTGGGAACAAATAGATAAAGACTCACGATGATGATGATGATTAACCAGTAGATGGTTCTAATTAGTCATATGTGATATTAATTTAAGTGTTGAAAGTAATTTCTGTTAATTCAGTACTTAGTAGCTAGGAGTAATTTTAAATTCACTTTTTTCACACAAAACATCATCCTTTTTTTCCAGTTCAAAGTTTTTTGTCTGCTGTTGTACGCTTCTGGAGTTATTTTTGTGGCTAGAGCTGGTTTAAACTAGTAACCAGATTGTAATGGTTCATTAATTATTTTTTTTCAATAATTTATGTGCCTAGTCTCTTGTATTTGCTTGGCCACTGAAACTGAGCAGCGGATTGGGATTATTTTCACTCAGATTCTAACTAATACAATCTAAAATACTTCAAAAGAATGATAAGCAATATAGACAAATGGCAAAGAGCTGTAAGTGACAGTTCAGTTTTTCACAAAGCTACAAATGTATTACAAAATGTATGGATGAGTTGGTTATAAAAAGTGACTTTTAAAGGAATGCTCAGGTTATATTCTTTATAGAAATCTCTTACGGAATTGTTGCAGAATTCCTAATAAATATTTCTTTCTTAGTTTTTGCCCATCAGAATGAGAAAGGAAGGGTGGTTTAAAGACTTTAAATGTATTTTGGCCTTCATTCCAACATTTCTGGCAGAAATTATTTGCAATTATGTTAATGCTGTTGGCTGGAAAGGAGTCACATCTCTTTTTGAGTCACAATTCTTAGCTTTTGAAGAGGCAGCTTAGCCGCCTTCAAAATTCTGTACGATAGACCCACGTGGGTTTGGTTCCCCAGCATACCTGACATTGTTTATTCAGTCTCTCTGTGCTTCCATTCAGTGAATTTACAATCTTGATTTTATTCAAGACTTAAAAAAAGAAGATAAGCACAATGTTCCAGTTCGAAACGTTCTCATCTGTAAACGAGATGAGACCTGGAGATCATGTCGGGGCAAAGCGGATTTTCTGATTCATGTGGCTTGTTCCTCCCTGTGGCTCTGACCTTTGCTTTTATTTTCCCTGGCTGTAACCTTAGTACCTTGCTTATTCTTTCAGGATGTCTCTTGCTCCGATGTCAATCCCGGTGCTGCTTATACTTTCTCAAGTTTCCTCAAATTCTTAACATGCTCTGACATCTCTTTAAAAACAGTATCTGTCTTTTTGTCTCAGGGAAGGAAGGGTTGGTTATTTTAGTTTTGTTTTTTTAAGAGTAAGAAAAAAAAGTAGTATGGCAGTCATACCGTAGGAAAAGGAGTCTTGTTCATTCTTCAGCATAAGGAGGATGTGGAAAACCTGTTTCTGATGAAATTTTCAGGCTAGAGTAGTTCTCGGTGGCTTTCTAACAACCAACCTCAGGTCCTGTGCTTTCATGATGTCAGAACTTGTTTTTCCAGAAACAGATAAGCACTCTCCCCACAACACAAACTAACCTGGTCTTTATATCGTATTTGTTACATCATTAAAGTTATCTCATTACTGACCTCAGCAGAATTATCCTTGATTTAGAAGAAGGAAATTGCATCCAACTCTTTTCATGCTGATTGAAAAATAAAACCAAAAATTTACAAACAGGGCATCTGTGGAAGATTGAGGATGACCTGTAGATGTTTTAAGTGCCCCGAGAGCCTATGCAAAAATGGTTACAGTTTCACTCTCTTTATTATTTTAGCCTGCATAGTATTACACGTTCTGCATAGCTCATTGATTATAATACATTTTGATAATGCCTGCCCACATTTTAAATACATATTAACTTTTATTTTTTCTAGGCATACTCTGTCTATGATGAAGACATTGGCTATTGCCAGGGACAGTCTTTCCTTGCAGCTGTGCTTCTACTTCATGTGAGTTAATTGCAAAATGAAAGCTTTGATATTTGAAACCAAAGCAGCTTTAAAATCAGTAGTACTGTAACATGCTATTTGACAGATATTTACTGTTGTTTATTTGTCTGTATTCATTTTCCTCTTGTTGCTTTTTGGCAAATAGTGACTAATCTTTATGAATGTAGATTTCTTTTATCTAGGAGAAATCCATTGAATTGTCAAGTACTCCTGTGTCAAAACCTGAAGCTGATTTGTTACATATTATTTTTTTTTTTTTAAATTTATTTGTCACGTAGGTGAACTCCCTTTGTGTTTATGGAGAATTTGAGAGATATTCTCAGAGTTGCTAACCCGAGCAAGCAGTCTCATTTATTTTCAGTGAGACTTTTTCTCCTAGGGACATTTTATAATATCTTTTGAGTGAAAGCAGAATTTTGACCTTGATGGTTTAGCCTGTAACCAAAAACTGTACAAACTTTGATCTGTTGCTTCCTATGTATACATGTGTCTGTATGTATAGAGATAGATAAATACTCAATTTTTATATTTGCAAGATGCTTTAACTTTGATGTATCAATGAAAAAGCAGCAGGTTCAGGTAGTGTGGATATCATGGAATCATGGAATTTTCAGAGTTGGAAGGGACCTCTAGAGATCACCTAGTCCAACTCCCCTGCTAAAGCAGGATTGCCCAGAGCACATTACTCAGGACTGCATCCAGGCGGGTCTTGAAAATCTCCAGAGAAGGGGACTCCACAGCCTCCCTGGGCAGCCTGTGCCACTGCTCTGCCACCCGAACTGTTAAGAAGTTTTTCCGTGTGTTGGAACGGAACTTCCTATGTTCCAACTTGTGCCCATTGCCCCTCGTCCTGTCACTGGAAACCACTGGAAAGAGTCTGGCTCCATGCTTCTTCAACCCCCCCTTTAGATACTTGTACGCAATAATAAGGTCTCCCCTCAGCCTTCTCTTCCCCAGGCTAAAGAGTCCCAGTGGACACAGTATTCCAGTTGTGGCCTCACCAGTGCCGAGTAGAGGGGGAGAATGACCTCCCTCGACCTACTGGACACACTCTTCCCTATGCAGCCCAGGATTCCATTGGCCTTCCTGGTGACAAGGGCACATTGCTGGCTCATGGATAATTAACTACCTACCAGGACCCCCAGATCCTTCTCCTCAGAACTGCTTTCCAGCAGGTCCACCCCTAACCTAATGCCTAGCATTCTTCCTCTCCAGGTGCAGGACCCTACACTTCATCTTGTTGAACCTCATTAGGTTCTTCTCTGCCCAGCTCTCCAGCCTGTCCAGGTCACACTGGATGGCAGTGTGGCCCTCTGGAGTGTCATCCACCCTTCCCAGTTTCGTATCATCAGCGAACTTGCTGAGGATACACTCTGTCCCCTCATCCAGGTCATTGATGAATATATTGAACAAGATTGGACCGAGTATTGACCCCTGGGGGACACCACTGGTTACAGGCCTCCAACTTGACACTGCTCCATTAATCATAACCCTCTGAGTTCTGTCACACGACCAGCTCTCAATCCACCTCGCTGTCTCCTCATCTAGCCCACACGTATTGTAAAGAGTATCTGAATAAACCACCCAAACCCCCAGCCACAACTCAGGTGCTTGCCTGCTTTTTCTGTCAGGCTTTAATTAATAAGTTATTAATCATGGTTGAAATACATTTCAGATAGTGATTTTGAGTGAGCTGTTGGGGGTATATAGGTTACACATACACTTCCTAAGGCATCGAGAACTCAAATCCAAATTAATTTGAGTTGTATTTCCTAGTGAGATCTATGACTCCTTGAAGACTTAAGGAGCATGATACACAGTGACAGTGTTACAGAGAAGCTTTAGTTTCTTTAAGGATAAACCTGAATTAGTCACATTATTGCAATCCCACATATACTGTAAATTAGCTTATCTAACAGTTATTTTGCAATTAACTTTTTACCCAAAGAAGGATTTGTAAGTTCCACTGGAATAATAAGCGATTTTCAATACCAGAGTTGTTTAGAAATGAGTGGGTGCCACATTCTTAACATTTGACTAATACTTCAGCTCCTCTCACTTAGTTGTATGCTGTCATTACTATAATCACCTCTGTTTGTAGTGTTTCTGGAGTTAGAAGAAATTGCCCTGTATGTAGGGAATACTAAATGGCAATTACCCACATTTTAATATGCCCTTTATAACATTTCGTTTCATAATAGGATATTAAACTGAAATAATCAAAGAAAGGGAGGGAAGGGAAGCAGTCTCAATGAGCTCATGTAAGTTGGGAGCTTCCCAGGATGTCCTCAAGCTCTTGTTTTTCTCAAATTCTCCAACCAATGTGTATGCTGTGAATGCTTGTAAGACCCTCTCTAACTCTTCTATCTGTGCATGGATTTCTAGACCCCTTCCTTTCCCTTTTTTCTGGGACAGGATATCTTTTCTCCTCAGTGTAGATATGTTTCAGGGATGGTTGAGTAGCCTGAACCTCTATCCTGGCTTTTTGTGATTTTGCTGCTTTGATGAAATTCCCATCAAATGTGAGCAGGCAACTTCTAATTACAGGGGGACAGTGTTGCCAACTCTAATCATTTTAAGTCTCACAGTATTTGCATTTTTTTTCCTTGTTGTCTACCTCTTGGAGTCATTGCTATGTGAAACACTAAAATTTAATTTTAAAAAATGGTAAATTTCTGGCTTTTGTGATTCCAAAGAAAAGGTAACAAGGGGCAAATATCTAAATGCTAAAAATCAGAATGGAAGCACCCAAAATGTGTTTTGTTTAAAATAAGTATGAAATGAAAACTTGATTTATGATTTTTAATTCTTGGGGTTGGTAATACTGGAGAACTTCCATCCACTGAGAGTGAGGACTCAGTGGTCTCCGCCTGTAAATAACTTTGATCTAGTATTCACCTCTGTTCCCCCTCCCTATCTCGGAGGAGGAACAGTTGTCGATGCACGTGTGTCTGATTGAGCATGCAAGGTAGGTGTGCTTGTGCATGAGCACCTGTCATTTTACTAGAAATAATTGCAACCTTACAAAAAAAAAAAAAGGAAATTTGCATTCATCTTATTATAGAGCAGATTCAAGGCTTTTGATCAGGATAAAACTATTTCTTCCCTTTACTTTGTCTGCAGCTTTTATCCACTGTCAGTGGGGAATCATTCTATCCAGACAAAATTGTGATAAAGAGCTTTGAGATTCCTAAGACCTTGTCCTAGGTAAATCTAGCCTGGACAGTTAGCTAGCAGCTGATCTTGCAGTTCTTTATGCTAACTACTTACTTTCATATATGCTGTCTGAAAATGAAAATGAAAGCGTCTGCCCATGGCCCTGGAGACAGGCCATAATCATAGGCTGAACCATAAAAGATGAAACCCTGGAGGTAAATATCAAGAGACTAAAATTCTCTTTGAAGAAAATACTGAGCTTTTATATCTTGCTGATATTTGATAAGGGTTTGGCAAGAGGTTGAATGAGTGAATATACTAAAAGGTCAAGAGTTGTCATTCTGGATACTCAATAATTGTTTTCATTTGTTACAATGTGGTGCCTGCAAAAGAAAGGTGGTTTTTAAATGTGATTGAAAACCTGATTTGGGGTCTGCAGTGACTCTGCTTGTGCTTGTCTTATTATTGTGTTACCTGAAGGCATGGGGGAAGGGGGAGAGATAGCGTATTAGTGGAGGTTTGATGACACAGGGCTTCCCACAAATTTGACGTTCAGTGGGCTGAAGCCAACAAATGTAACTTCAGAGTGGCTCGCACAGCTTGTCCTTTAGGTACTGCTCTCTGAATCTGTTGGATGAGAAATTTTGGTCAAAATGAAAGAGAGAATATGGAGATAAAGCTTCTGTAAAAGTCATGATGTTAATAGATGGGTTCCTGAGCTCCCAAGTAGGTTCTGAAGGCAAAATTTATTATTTCCTTATTCATTGTGGGAAACCTGTCTTCAGAGAGTTTGATGTTCTGGAGTTTGGATGAAAGTAGATAAGCATTATTCTCACTAAGGGTTGGTTATTCCTTAGTTCTCCTGAATTCTTCCCTTTTAACCAAGTCTCTCTCAGTCTCTCTTTTTTTTTTTTTTTAAATAAATGTTTTGTAGCTCAGAGTTGTATACAGAGGTGTTCTCATATCTGTTTGGCAGAAAGAATACTGATGACAATTGTGCTGCTGTAGGGATGTTTACTTATGTGAACCTATGATATTGATCCCACATTTTCTTCAAAGAAGGTCTTACAGAGCCAGATGAAGGTGCTCATCAAGGAGAATAGTCCCTTTTAGATTTTAGTTGCTTAATTCAACATTCAGAGTGCTTTGCTGAAAATTTTAATACATCCCCGCTTCTGAATTCATCATGCGTAAGGTATTTAGGTGTGTGTATTTGTGTAAGGAATTTCCAGCCTCAGCTTGGTTTTTAAAATTATGTTTGTGTATTTTTCCAGATGCCGGAGGAGCAGGCATTCTGTGTATTTGTGAAAATAATGTATGACTATGGCTTGAGGGAACTCTACAGAAATAACTTTGAAGATCTCCATTGCAAATTTTTCCAGCTGGAGAAGTTAATGCAGGTGGGGCCGGGGTAACAAATTCTTCTACTTTCATAAATGGAATACTGGCATGAAGAAGAGATTAATGCTTTGCTTCCATAAGCTACTGGAGAATAAAACCCTTCTCCTTTTAGAGGTGTGGTAGAACCAAAGCAGGGAAGTTTAATAACTGGATCCAAACACTGTGAGTCAGATTTGTTTCTAATTTCTTTTGTCTTTCATATACCAATCTTGCTGCTATTCTTTGTATCCAAGCAGAGTAGGTATCTGTTTTTTTTCCTCTCTCTGTTTGCTTACTCTTTCTCTTCTCTATTCCGTGATGTTGCTTAGAGAGAATGTCTCTGTTCTATTAAGGCCAAAATATCTTTTGGACTGCCACCATCAGTGTCGTACTTTCTATGAATTATGTTGATGGTTAAGAGGTCAGGCAAATCAGGACAACCTGATGCTTATGAAATACGAATCAAGTGTAGGTAATTTTTTAGATTTTACTATGTTTTCAATACATTGCTCATTTTTCAGATGGAATTAGTTCAGAATAGTCAGAGCAATTTAACATAATTAAATGGCTGCAAGTTTTAAACATTGTTGTTCTGACTAGTAAGGAATTACTAACAGTCCGTTAAGCTTTGACCTGTGCTTCTGTTAGCTTAGTGAAAGCTATCTGCTGGAGTCAGTTAGCATAGATGACCATATATACCTCTGTGAGATATATTAAAAGCAAACAAAACAGACCACAGTTAATTTAATGATCTTTTTTCTCAGATGTCAAATTATGTATATTTCCTATTTGATGTAGTAGAATTGCATACTGACAAATTTAATACTTAACTCAGCATATGGTCTTCTCAATATTTACATATGTTAACAAAGAGTTTTACTTTATTAACTGAATATCAATATATCTTGAGCGTACAGTAGGATTATCAGTGCTTATTTTGTGTTGCTTATATATGCTCCTAGTTAGAGAAACTGTGTGTTGTGTGTTTTGTTGCTTTCAAGCTCCGCAAGGTGATCACCTTGTTCTAGGACCTATTGGACTTCAGAACAGAAGCATTATAGCAAGACACAGCAAAGGAATAACTTAAAAATATACACCATGCAAGACACAGATTTCACAACCGCTCTGCCTTTCAAGTGTTGAAGATTTTGTGATTTCTCAGTATAATCTTGGTACATTATTTGATACCGTGATAGAATCCACAGTGGATGTCTTACTAAAAACTGTAACCATGGACACTGAAATTTATAAAGAAACATATTTCCATTGCTCAAAAGAAGCCAGGATTTCACTTTGTTGTGTTTTGCAGTGTTTAGCAACCTGGTACTTACTGGCAGTGTAGATGAAGAACTTGGATTAATGAGTAATACTGAAGCATTTATTTTTTCCTTTACTCTAGGAGCAGTTACCAGACTTGTATAGCCATTTCTCAGACCTCAATTTGGAAGCTCATATGTATGCATCCCAGTGGTTCCTCACTCTTTTTACTGCCAAGTTTCCACTCTGCATGGTCTTCCACATCATTGACTTACTACTTTGTGAGGTAAAAAAAACTTGAATCAGAAAGCCCTTCCTCCACTCCATGAATGTTTCTTCTTTTTTTTGTTTCATTTTGTTGGAGTCATTTACTGTTTAATTTCAAAATGTGTGTAACTAAATTATGTAGAAACCATGGTTATATTGAAGAGAAGATGTTCAGTGAAACGCTGGTTTGGTTTCAAAATTAGAACTGTGGATTGCCTTACTCTTTGCTAAGGGATCTAATTAAGAATATCTGATGCACACATCTGTTCCTCATTTAATTTGTTAAATAATTAATTCAAAGTTAGGAATTCTAATTTCTTGAAGATACCTAGTAGTAAAAGCCTAACAGGCTTTTAGAGGGAAAGCTCTCCAAATTGTTTGATTCAGAGTGCCCAAAGACAGTAAGGGTATTGCATGTTGCTTTGATTGCCTGATATATAAAAAAATAGTGGGAACTGTCAAACAGCACAATTGAATTAAGTCTTTTCCTTTTATTTTTTACCCTACTATTCCAACTAAGGAACACATTACTCCAGATACAAAATGGTATGTTTCTATATTGTAGGTATATTCACACGTCCTTTAAAAAGCAGACAGAATAGATTCATAGTCTGGACTGTCTATTTTTGTAAAATACTAGTACTTCCTTTTGTCACCGGGAAGTAAAGGCATCTGTGGAATTAAACCTGTTTTTGAACCTGCTACTGATTTCTCCTCTGGTTTAAATAGGTCACAAACATTAAAAAAAAAAAAAAAAAAATTGAGAATTTTAAATGCAAAGGGCGTCATGGGTATGAAACACTGTTGACTCCAGTTCATTCTGTTAATTTTTATTGTGAAGTATTTTACTTGTGAACTTTCAGGCTTGCACATGCCTTGATAGCATTCATTATTAAACAAAATATTGTTCACCACTCATAACTCAATATTTTTTTCCTTAAGAGTATTGCTTCTTCAGTGTATTGGTGCTCAATTATCAAAAAGAAGTAGGTTAATACGGCCAAGTGAGTGCAAAAGGTAGTAATGGTGAAGTGATTGCAAATTTCCGTATAAATATCTGAGGTCTATTTCTTTCACAATGTCTTGATTATTTTAAGTAAGCAAGTAGAAAAAGCAGAAAGGTTGCTGGGTTTTGTGCTCTTTGTCCTCTTCTTTGGTTGTGCAGTAGATGAACACAACCCCTCAATCACTTTTGAACTTAGTGAGTTAATTTTCAGAATGAGCTTCTTGTGTGGCTTTGATCATTCCTTGTCAGTTCAGTTTATGACTTCATTCTGATCTTGATGTAAAGCTGCACTCAGAAATGACCGTTTTAAGAGACTGTCAAGAAGTGTAGAACAACATTTCATAATGGTGGTTATTGTGATAGCAGCATAGTTACATCCTGTCTGAAGTTCCTGTGCTTTTTATTATCTTGAGCTTGATGATAAAATATGCTGAAGAAGTTTTTTAGTCATGGTTAATATAGATTTAATATTTGGAATGAAAAAAGAAGCAACTCTTAAAACATTTGCATTCATCTCACATCTGGCAGTGTTTATCTCAGCATCTCTGAAGGAATTACTCTGGGAAAGAAGGTGAAAGAATCCAAGGAGAAAGTGAGAGTGCGCAACTCCGGAGTCTGCTAGAGAAAGGGAAACTTGTTAGCATTTGTGAAGGGTAATCGCATAAAGCTAAAGGAGCTTCTTTTACAACAGCTAAAAATAAACCAGAAATGGTAAGAAAATTGATTTCAAGTGAGAAACAGTGGGGCAGCGTGTAGACAACATACTGAGGCAACAGTGTAGACTATCAGAAAACTGCTCCTGAGATTGATGAGTCAACCAGTCTAAAGGAACAGGCGCTTCTGAGAATTTGTGGGAGGGAGCGTAGATTAAAATCATATTAAAATAAAAATCTAGTTGGCCCTCATCACAGAAGGAAAGTAAGATCTGAAGGCATATGGCCATAGACAGAACAAGAAAGAAACCATTCCTTAGTGGAGGCCTGAAATCATATTGTGAAGCTGTCCGTCCAGTCAACCTCCAGAAGGAGTAACGGAACAGTCAAAAAGAAATTTTATCTGCATTAAATTTTTCTTTACTTTATCTCTGAACAAACAGCGTACCTGTAATTCCAGCAGCTAGAAGGAGAAAAAACAGTTGCAGCTGCAATGGAACATATTCTTCTGCAAAAAAAATCCGCAAAATATCAAGAAGCCTTTGAAGTGAACTGTCTTGTGTTTTTGAAAACAAACTTCCAGCCTTCTCATTAATTTGTCATAGATACAGATGAATTTTAAATAGCCTTCAACTTCCTTCCTGACTGTGCTTTCTCCACATCCCTGTCCTGACTGTCTTTGACAAAATGTTTACATCCTACACAACTCTTTTATGAAAGAAAAATATTTGGGAAAGAAAAACGGTTAAAACCATTGCCGAATGGGTGCTGCCAACTAGACATTCCAAGGGAGCTTCTCTGATCCCCATGAAAATATTTGAATTATGGATGAAGAATTTGTGTCAACGAAGAGTTTTTGGATGGGATTTGTCTTTTTAGATCTTGACTGTGGCTGGAAGAGTGAAGTCGGTCCTTATAGATGTTCTTTAACTCTAAATCCAGAGAAGAAAAACACCTGTTGGAAATCCTGTAGTTTTGCAGCCAGGCAGAAAGGCGCGTTTCTTTCCCTTGCGTGCGTGGTGGAATGGTAGCACTCAAGCTGGGCAGTGGACCTCCTGGGCAGGAGCATATCCAGGGATGTGGAAGCCTATGAAAAATTAGTTAAATTTATGGTGGGAATTAAGTTTTATTGAGAAATTTTAAAAATCCCATCGAAGTGTGTGCCTTTACAGCTGAGGCCTTTTCATCATTCTCACATTAAATGTGACTTGATAGAGAGAACAATTTTATTTAAATTTATATGAATTTGGGACTTGCTGTGGCCTCTATGTGATTGAGTTCTTCTATCCTGTTATCTTCCTCTGACCTTTTTTTTTTATTTTTAAGCTGTCTTCAAACTGTTGAGGATGTGATTCAATGCCCAAATTTCCAGTGGCCTTAGAATATTGCCTCAATAATTGTAGGAGAGAATCCGTCACCCATCCTCACCTAGAAATGAAATGTTTTTGAATCATTTGTATTTCCTACAACAGAAGCTTCAAGAAAATTTTGGGCTTGCAGGCAGGTACTCCACAGTGCCTTGGAACATATTATAAGGCTTAATACTTTGACTGCCTGTAATAAAATCACAAACCTCTTAATCCAGTTGAAAGTTTTCATGGGATTACAGCAAACTGCGTGTTTTTGAGCCTGTCTATTAGATAAATTTTAACATGTCAGCATCAGCTGAAGGTCTTTCTACAATGTTCCTTTTAGCTGCTTGTTTCAACTGCTTCATTTGTCTCTTCTTTTGCTATTTCTGTTTGCATTGAAGAACAACTTTGTTGATGAAATTCAGAGTTGTATTTGGACTTGTCAGTCTTATCTATCAATATGGCATTATGCTATTGAACACTTTGTGAGCTGGCTCTGTGTTGCTGTCTCTTTCTGTTCCATTTTAAATTATTTTTTTAAAGTCATGCTCAGAAATAGCGACTCATCTCGGTAAAGCATATGTCGCTTAGATAGAGCTGTCCCTAGTGCAACAACTGCACCTGGGTGTTGACATTTAACTTCGTGTTGCATTCTAAAATTTACAATTTAAAGCTAAAATATGGGTTTTAAAAGCACTAAATAAGTGACCTTAATTAGGCATTTAGAAGAGAAAAAAACCAAACCAGTTGGCAGAAAATTTATAAGCATTTTGTAAATTTTTGTGAATTTTTCTGCTTAAAAAAGAAAATACTTTAAATGGTTGTGATATATACAGTACTGCCAAGACTAAAGGAGGTTCAAAGCTAAAGCTGTGATTCCGTTATTAACCCAGAATTTTGAGACGCTGCTGGTAACCTCCATTTTAAGTCAGTCTGGCTATTTTTGTGTGCAGTTCTTGGGGATATAAAATACTCAAGGATTGTGCTTCTCTCCTTTTAAGGAATTTATAAAAAAACCCACTACATGATGCCTTTTCTGGGCTGGTGCAGATATTTCTATATTTTAGTGTCTGTAATTACATAGTCTTTTGTGATGGTTTGAGAGACCCATAACAATTTGTTGTTGTTTAGACAATCATTCTATCACCCGATGACCCTTCCCCACCTGGAAAGGAGAATCGGGAAAAACAAGGGAACCCGGGAGCTGAAGTATAAACAGATTTATTAGAGTAAGATTAGATAATTAACATTAACAGCACTGAAGAACCGATATTGATCCCGACACCAACACAGAATATGCAGATTATACTCAGCCAATTCCATCAGTAGGAAGCTGTGCACTCCCAGCAGCGGACAGCAAATGTCGGACACTGCGAGAGCTACGGCTTCAGGAGGAAGGGAAGGCCTCAGGAGTCTGGCACCAGGGCACGAAGTTCTCAGGATGGCAGCCATCAAGGGAGAGAGAGAACTTGGCAGCAAACTTTCTAATTTATAGTGAATATGACATTGATAGTATGAAATAATCCTGTTGGCCAGCTTGGGTCAAGTGCCCAGGTCTCGCTCCTCCTCATCCCTGCGCCTGGCTAGCTTGAAAACACTGAGACCTTGAAACCTACACACCGTAGCTGGCTGTAAAGTAAATATTTTCACAAATTCAGACACTGGAGTCTTCTAAAAGTGCAGTTTTCCCAAGTATTAGAGGAGAAATTAGTCCTGTGTCGCTCAAACCAGGACATCTTGTTACAAAAATTAATAGTTTGACTACTAAGCTGCCATTCTGTGATCAAGACTGAATAGAAAGGGATGCAACTGGTAATCTATCAGTTTTTAATATGAAATAATGTAATGTTTTCTGATATAGCTAATAACAGAGAAGTGAAACTACCTTTCACAGGACTACACAGCAGCACAAAGGAAGAAGTGGGAATTGAAAGCTAGATACCATCATTATTTGCTCTTTGTTTATCAACGATTGCATTCAGAACTTTGTGTAAAATAACTTCTGTAA